TTTCTAAGCTCAAATTTTTAATAACTGACATTCATTGCCACATAACTCATATTTGCCATAATTAAGCCGAATTGTTACCAATTATTCACAACATTATTTTAATTAGAAATAATCCCGCGTAGACAACCAACAAGCAATAACATTTGACATTTCGGAGACCTCACGCTACACTAGCGCCTCTAGCGGCGGATTCATACGCGATAGCCTTCATTGTCATTGTGGGTTACCTACAATGCGAAGGGATGGTGCTGCCTTGCAGCCTAAGGCAAGAGAAAATTTGACACGGCCGTCAGGGCCGCGGTAGCATAATGGTCAGTGCATTCCCCCGGATAGCCAAGGGTGCGGGTTCGAGTCCCGTCTGATGCCTGGACCGCGTGGCAATTTTCTAGTAAACTTTTCTTTAGATTTAAACATCAAGCAGTTAAATGCTTAGAAAATAAAAACATAACTATAATTGCTATTTCTTCTTTCAAATGTTTAATACCTGTAAAGGTATTCATTTGACATTGTGGGTTACCTACAATGCGAAGAGAGTGCGCTGCCTTGCAGCCTAAGGCAAGAGAAAATTTGACACGGCCGTCGGGGCCGCGGTAGCATAATGGTCAGTGCATTCGCCTGGATAGTGAAGGGTGCGGGTTTGAGTCCCGTCTGCTGCCTGGTCCACGTGGCAATTTTTTCTAGTAAACTTAAAAAATAAAAACATAACTAATTTTTAAAGTTAAAATGATGGTAAACGAGCATCCCGCCTGATGGTAAGTGGCCACCATAAGCGTTACAAAAAATATTACTCGCGCAGGTGCCTACCCTAAACCAATCCCCTACCCCGTCACTTTACACACCGACAGAAACACAACATCACCAAAAAGGTAGTATTATTATTTTACTGTGGTTTCAGGTTACAGTGGAATCTTTGTCCTATAGTTAAAGTAAATACAAATTAATTCTGAATACAATAAACTCGGATATTTAGCAGTTTAAGAAAGAAAGTTGCACCAGACTAGCAGCCAAGAGAACACTGTGAACAAAAAAGCATTTGCAGATAAGGTACTATAGGGCTTAAACTTGAAGGGAACTACCTGGGGAAAGGAAGGAAGGGAACTACCTACGCAGCTTACAATAACTACGAATGACAATGCTGTAATGTTTCATTTCTCCTATTTAAACTCTGAGAAATTATGTACAACTAGCTGTGCCCCGCGGTGTTACCCGCGGCTTATTAGGGAAAATAAATTACAAATACAAATACAAAATACAAAATTAGTTTATTTCAGTAACTTAGCCTATTACAATGTATGAGTATGGTACATCCTTTTAAGCAGTAAAATTGCTTGTGTTAGGATGCACCGCTCTTCCATAGCTTGGTTACAATAGGCCAATTAACAATCCGCCATATATGTATTTATATTATTATATAGTTTAAATATCTTTTATTTTTCAAAAGGATTTCAAAACAATAAAAATAAACCAACAAAGATTACAGACTCCGTTTTTTTTTGAGGGTACAAACATTTTTTTTCTTCTTATATAATTAATAGTTTATAAATTTCTTGGGTACAAGCATATTAGGCTGAGAACGTGTGTTGTGAGTGTGCGTGTGTGTATAAGTGTGTGTGTATACATGTATAGTGTGTAGTACCTATGTGTGTAGAGAGGTTTTAACGAGTTACTATTGTATTTTATATCCCACGACATTTCGTATCGAGAGTTTACATTTTACATACCTATAACCACACTAAATAAATAATTCAACTTCTGTATAACTTTTAGTTTTTAGCCATTCTGTTAATGTAGTTTTGCATCTTTTGTAAGTTAGAGGGTAAATATTGAGTTCTTTATTCATTTTATTATATAATAAAGTAGATTTCCATGCAAATTGCCTTTGTGCAAATATTGATTTGACTTGAGTATGTGTAACAATATCGTGTTTCTTTCTAGTTTTCTTAGAGCTTGTTTTGTATGAGAGGGATTTGTGTATTCTTAGTACTGTGTTCAAGATATAGAGCTTTCTCACCGATAGAAGTCCAATAAAATTGTAAAGTATTTCTGTTGAGAAATCACGGGGCTTGAAATACATCACTTTTAATAAAGCTCTCTGAGCTCTTTCCACGTAAAGGAAATTTGTTTTATTTGCTCCACCCCATACAGTCAAACAGTAAGTTAAAACTGATTGAGCGAGAGAAATGTATGTTAGTCGCAACAGATGCTCAGAGGCTACGTGGTGTAACGTCTTAAATGTCCAGATGAGCTTTCTTGTTCGGTTCATAATAAGTTCAATATGACTATGCCATGACAAACGCTGATCGAGCATAATACCTAGGTACTTTGTATTAGCAACTTTTTTTAATTCAACACATGAACAGGTATCCATATGATGCCTATCACACTTGTGGATAACTAATTTAAAGTCTAGCGACGGTTGACTACTATTATACTTGGTAAAACAGATGTAGTTACTTTTTTGTATATTTAGTGATAACAAGTGGTCATTCAACCAAGTAGCAATCTTGTCTAAGCCTTTTTCCGTCTGTATTTTTAGTTGTGCCCATTCGTTAGCTGAAAATACGATGGCAGTATCATCAGCGTACGAAAAAATACGTCCTCCCTCAATTCGCATATTACACAGATTATTTATGTACACGAGGAATAAAGTGGGACCTAGCACGCTGCCCTGTGGCACGCCATAATTAACAGTGCACCCAGAGCTTAATGTCAACCCCACGCCAACCCGCGAAACACGGTGAGTAAGGTAACTTTCCAGTAGTTTGAGCGGTGTTCCTCTAATGCCTGCTTTTTGAAGACTGTCTATCAAAATTGGTATTGACACCGTGTCAAAAGCTTTTTTTAAGTCTAGGAAAACCGCTAAACACTTTTCACCTTTGTCAACATTTTCCACAATAGAGGACGTCAAAGCCAAGACCGCATCCTCAGTGGAAAGGCCCTTACGAAAGCCGTATTGGGATGGAGAAAGGACATTATATTTAGCAAAGAAATTTTCTAGGCGGACGTTTATTAACTTTTCTAAAATCTTTGCTAACACTGATATTACTGATATGGGCCTAAAGTTCGATGGATCTGTTTTTTTACCACTTTTATGTACTGGAGTGATAATTGTTTGCTTCAAGACCTCCGGGAAGATTCCGTGTTCAAAACACTGGTTAGTCAGGTGCACCAAGATAGGCACTACCTCATTGCATGCTAGCTTTAGGAAGTTTGTAGGTATTTTATCCCACCCAGGAGCACTTTCGGACTTTAAATTCATAAGCACGGATCGAACCTCCTTAAAATCAACATTTATGAGTGCAAATGAAGATGCCAAATTCATTTTAGATTTTTCAAGTTTTGGTGTTTTGGTAAAGCTAGCTGGTATATTTTTAGCCAATTGTTGTCCAATATTAGCAAAATACTCATTGACTCGGTTTACTGATTCTTGAGGTGAGTTTGCTATTTCGAGTAGCTCTTGGTTTCGCGATTTGGGGGGCTTTCGTTGTGTTATACTATTTATTGTGTTCCATAGCTTTTTGGGATTTTTAACGGCGTTTTCTAGTTGTTGCTTATCATAGCTACGTTTTAACTTTTTAATTATATTATTACAAAAATTTCTATATCGCTTGTATGTCAACCTTAACGTTATATTACCTGGATCTGATTTCAATTTCTTTTGCATATCATTTCTGTTCCTAATACAACGTAATACACCCACAGTCATCCATGGCTTAACTGTCCGCTCTCTTCTAGGAACGGTCATTGTTAAGGTATTTATAGCAATACTTTGTTGTAAAATTGTTATCAGCATTTGTGCTATTAGATTTGGATCGGTAACGGCTAATAATTCGTTTAATTTCTGTGTTTCAAGATGTTTCACTGCTTTTTCATAATTTTACAATGTTTTAACCTTCTTATTTACATTAGGAAACACAGTTTTTGTGGTAGATAATTTTAAGACAATCATTGAGTGATCAGTTACCGTAGTATTCAGTACAGCTATGGTTGCAGTCATCTTACAATTTTCTTTTTTTATTATAAAATGGTCCAGGCAATTATTTCCCCTTGTAGGTAGTATGTGTCCCGGAAGTAAGCCATGACAAGCAAGCATGTTTAAATAATTAGTTCTATTTGAACGCGATAGTGAGGATTCATTTGGATTATATATTAAGTTAATATTTATGTCACCGGTGAGAATAACGTTTTTATGCCTCGCAATAGTTTCTAAATATTGATTAAGAGAATCTATAAATTCATCGGCATTTATTGCTGATGGAGACCGATAAATGCCTATAATAATACTATTATTTATACTTATTTGAAGACCAGAAGCCTGATTTAAGAAAATTTCCTTAATAGAAGCTTGGTGAGTATCTTTTATGTATGCAACAACACCAACACCAGCTTTGTTGACGTGTTTAGTTGTATGAAACGCTGCATAATTCTCCATTTGTGGAATATTTTTATTAAGGTCTATTCTACACTCACTTAAGATAATTACATCAGTCTCAAAGCCAAAACCATCCAAGTTCAGCTGCAGGTCGTCTAAATTAGCATAAACGCTACGTATATTTTGCGAAACAATTGTAAAATCAGCTTTTCGTACTTTCATTGTAGACGATAGGTCATTGATTTGGCACTCATAAGCAACTGCTATATCTGTATCATCTATTTCATGAATATTTATTAGGGAGTCATTCATTTTTTATTAAAAGATTCCAAGTCATCGCCACGTGAAACATCCTTGTTGATTGATAAAATAAAAATAGACAAGTTTGATCAATATCAATATGTTGGCATGTAAATGTAACACTATTTTTTGACATATTCAAATTGAAAATGGAAATTATAATTATGCAGGGGTTTAAGATTATACACTGATGTGAGTATGAAAATATTAGGCATGAGGAATGTGTACGAGTATTTGTGTGTGATATTTTTGTATGCTTAGATAACAGTACGATGTAAAAAACATTAGCTTTAACAATAAGAAAAAATAAACAAGTATTATAGTCTAGTCAAATCATTAATGTTAAGTTATGTATCTGGGATTCATCTTTTAAAATAATAATAGGGGAGTTATCTTCTTTACGTAAGTAAACTCGGCCGTAGGAGGTCCAGCAATATTTGTAACTTTGTGTTCTAGCAGCGTCTCGAGCAAGGAAAAACAATCGAGCACCTTTAGCAGTTAGTTGCTCCGAGATAAAGACAGCAGTTTCCTCGCTTTTAGTCGCACCTAAGTGTTTTGCTCGAAGCTTCTCCTTATAAGTCCTATTGAACACCTTTGTCATCCTGAGTATTTCCGTTTTTAACATCTTAGATGATAATTCCACAATGATGGGAGTATTCTCACTCTTATCAGATTTTTTACTTGGTACTCTATAAATGTCTTTTATGTCATTTTCGTTAACGTCACATTTGATAGTTTTTCCCAATTCCTTTACCATATTAACTAAGTTTTCATTAGGTAATTTGGGCATATTTTTTATTTCCAAGTTTGTTTTACGATGTGCTCGTTGTAAGTCCTCTATTTTATCTTCTAAAATATTGATGTACTCTCTATCCTTAGTTGATTGCTGCTCAAGTTTTTCAATTTTCTTTTTCAACTCTTCATTTTGTTGAGTTACAAAGTTAAGAGAGGTCTCAATATTATTATTAGTCTCTTTTATTTCTAATTGAGTTGAAGATATCTTTTTCAGTTCTTTCTCTTGGATCGATAAGAGTGATGCAATCATATTTTTCATTTCATCCCTAAATAGTTTAAATTCGTCATCAAAATCATGTTGTTCTCTGCCTCTCTTCTGACGTCTGCTTATGCGCTTTGGTGACGAGTGTTCTCCAATTACGTCGACTAAGTCAGTATCTGAGATTGACCTATTCATGTTGTAAAAACAATATTTAACTTGAACCTTATTTAATAAAAATATTTTATCTCAAAGCATACAAGGAGTAATCGTGTCGTAGTCGTATCGGATCGTATAAAATGTATATCTGTACTATCCTTGATGCGCGGCGCAGGAGTTGTCGGACCGGTGTTGTAGCAAAGGCGGGGCGTAACTGTTTACTGGTTACTATTGGGGTGTGGCTAATCGCACCTTAGAAATGGCTTCGCACACGCGCTGCACTCATTAGTCAATTGTCATACAATAGGGTTATTTGAGTACTTTGCTATTGGTGAATCAATAATTTTGTTACCAGGATGACAGGCGCTCTCGGAAGTGGACAGTTTCGGCTGCGTGCAGAACTTTACTTCTTTGCGAATTATGCACTCCTATTTTTTACACTGTTTTATTTAACTAGTAATTTAATTTATGAAATAAAAATAAATATTACGGTCTTATTATACGTTTACACCATTCGGCGGTCCAGAGGGGAGAGGTGTAATTGTGTATTAACAGTAAAAACAATGACTATTCACATTTTTAGAAGCAAAATAATTTAAACTTAAACATCGGAAAGATCAATTTACAAAATTTGATAACTGACAGAACGGGAGAGATGATTATGCTGTCTTATGTAATTGTTTTTTGTCTCGGGTCGTAGAGCGAGACCTAGAAATCACTTTACTGCAGCACATCCCGGTAAACCACAATGCGGGACTTATTGTTTTCTGCGTAAATAAAATGTGTTTCTTGCTCTTGACACACGGGAGCAATCCACGTTCAGTTGTCCGTGGGAAAAGCAGGGGGTACCCAGGTGAATGCCTGCTACTTTTAGAGTTTGTCCTTGACTTTTATTTACTGTAATAGAGAAAGCCACGTTTATAGGAAATTGTAGGTGCTTGAACTGGAAGGGTAAGTTTGTGGGTATTATACGGATTCTAGGTATCAATACCGTCTCTCCTTTGGCCCCTCCAGTAAGAATGGTGGCCTGGACGATGTGCCGTCTCAGCTCCGTGATGCGTAACCTAGTGCCGTTACACAGTCTGGGCGCGTCCAGGTTACGCATCAGTATGATAGGCAGACAGACAGCCCTGACAGGTCGAGGGAATTTAAGAATTCTACATGGTATAGGTATTATCCCACAACGGCGAAGCCTTGAGGCATGCGTTTATCTCATCTGCCGAGGTACCTCGCTCGATAACCAGTAACGTCTGCCGAAAATCACCTGCCAGCAAGACGACCACTCCACCAATAAAGATTCGATTCGGTCCCATACGATCAATTTGCACCATTGCAATAGAGCACCACGACTACTACTTTTACTGATGTTGCAAATGGGCGTTTCTTCACTTGCAAGTTTCAGCGGGAGCTTGAATACTGAGTGTCCGGTTCTGCCACCACTCAGCCAGGTTGCGGCTATTCTGGAGGATGCAACAGCCAGCGCAACCACTTTGTCTTTGCACAACTGTGCCAGCAGCAAGTTCATTAAAAAAGTCTTGCCGGGGCCCCCTGGTGCGTCCAAGAAAAAAGACTTTCAGCGCTTCTTTAAAAATTATGTCTAGTGTTATCCCTTGTCGAGGAGCTCGATGGCGCAAGTGGTTAGCGCGTTCAGCTGCGATCGTTGAAGTTAAGCAACTTTCGCAGTGGTCGTTCATTGGATGGGTAACCAAAAATTTACTATCTCGAGCTCCTCCGTGCTTCGAAAGGCACGTTAAGCCGTTGGTCCCGGCTGCATCTGCAGTCGTTAGCACCCACCAATCCGCACTGGGCTCGCGCGGTGGGTCATGGTCCAATCTCCCTATTCCATCCATAGGGAAGGCCTATGCCCCAGCAGTGGGGACATTAATAGGCTGATGATGATGATGATCCCTTGGTATCGGCGAGCAATGTCTTCTGACAAAGCGCTTTTTATACTTGTACCACAATTGCCGGGGGTTGGAGAGTCCGCAGGTGCTTATCATAATCGCAAAGAGCTCTCTCAACGTAGTCGCTGACCGGCACAACATTACGCACTCCATCCCAGTCCAGTTGCGTCCCAGTGGCCGTCGTCTTCAAGCAGCTTCATCGCCTCACATGCTTCTTGAAAAGTGGCCTTTTCCTGCCCATCGACGATTCTGAGCGCTTGAAAACTGGTAGGACCCCGGATTCTAGTAATAGCAACAGCAACCGTACACAATAGCACTCAAAGTATGTTATGTGTACGGTAAATTCTACCGTGGGCATCTAAGGCTTTCGTCAGGCCAGGCCAACCGTCGACGGGTGCGCCCTGCGCGCAACGTTCCATTGTTTTCGTGACGCATTCCACGTGCGAGCAAACTCGTCTTCCTGGCACAGTTGCTCGCTCCATACCTGGAATGATTTGACACCGTTTGTCAGTTTCCGCGTCGTCGTCTCCCATAAAATACACCTATAAAATTGTGGCTGTTCATTAGGTGATCATCACCCATTTTGTGATGTAGTTGGCCATGCACTGTGAACGTTGGGGAAAATCCAGGCATTGCAAAAAGGACAATGGCGAAATATTTGTTGAAGTAAATCTATAGCGTCCATAGATGTCATTATCAGAAATGTTAATAAAATAATCTCAAAAGATTTATTAAACAATTGATGAGGGTTGTCTCAGTCTGGAATTAAAAACTTAAAAAAAGGGAAACACAATTGACTATTTATTTTTTATTTTTATTGTGGCTTGGCCATGATGGCTTTTGAGCCATTCATTTTAAGTGATTTTAGTGATGAAATCAACTTTAAATATGTTGTTCGTATGTTTTGCTAAGGTTTTGCATCGCTTTACGCTTGAACTGTATTTAATTATCTATCAAAAATATCGGGAAACATTATTTTTCAATATTATACTGAAACCATATTAAATAATCTCCACAATACAAAAAGAGTATGGCGACAATTGTAACGAAAAAAAACTATAACTGTCACTGTCATGCTTGTCATCGAATTGTTGTTGTTGTTATTGTTATCATTATTTAACATTGTTTGTGGTAAGGTGCATGCATATTGCAAAGATTTCAATCGGCGTATTGTGTTTTTCTGAGATTTGTTTTTTATGTGACTTGGACTGTATTTGGACTTTCGAAATCTTTCTCTGCGACTGTTGAGTAGTGCTTGCCTAAGACTTCCGAATCTGATATTTTGCTGTGGATTTTGGACACGATTCTGTCCCATACTGTGGATTTTATTTCATTGTATCTACTATCTACGATATTGTGATCAACGATGTGGAATAAAAAATATATAAAAAGTGTTGCATATTTAATAAATATCCCATTAGTACATTATTAGAAATCCGTTTTTATACTTTATTATTGCAGTGGGCATTTCAAATTGTTAAGTACTTCTTACAGCACAGACATTGTATTTGAACTCAATAATTCTTGTCTGATAATAAGTATTTTGACGCGGTTGGTCAGTACCTACGCCAAAGAAAGAAAGAAAGAAAGAAAGCCAACTGATCATACATTTTAAAAAACTTTTTTTTTTCGTCACTAATCTTCAGGACCGGTATACTTCTATAGTTCCGTTCCACGTATTTTTTATTTTGATATAAAAATACTCTTGAAAATACTTTTATAATTCGTTTTTGGATTACTTGGTAGGACATAACCTCCAAAACTTCAAAGTAGAATATCTATAAATCCAGACTTCCTATAATATAAGAAATAAGATGAATCAAATCAAGAATGTACACTCTATAATTTAACATGCAATTCATTTATAGACGCAAAAAAAATTTCAACAAAAATTGTATGGGAGATCGCCATTGTCCTTTGTCCGCCCCGAACAACGACATGTTATAGCATGGGTTGCACGCAGTTTTAGAACCGTCAAGATTCATCAATTTCACCTGTAAATAATGTATTTAAGGGTTCCAATAACCCCCAAGCATTTCTGGTAAATGTTTTCCGGCACTCTGCTTGATGCTGAGCGACTGCGAGTCGTCCAGAATTTGTCTCATCTACTGTCTCGGAAGCACGCGGATTAGACATTAGCTGGGCATGATTTAGCCGTCGAGAAGTTTCTTCATCAGGTGTTTCAATGGCACGCTGAGTGGACATACGCTATGCGTTTTCTTGATGCCAAGTAGCTGCTACTTCAGGTGTCTCTAATGCACGCTGATGAGCCATAAGCTGGGCATGCTCTCGCCGTCGAGAAGTTCCTTCATCAGGTGTTTCAATGGCACGCTGAATGGACAACGTTGTGCGTTTTCTTGACGCCGAGTAGCTGCTTCTTCTTGTGTCTCTAATGCACGCTGATTAGCCATAAACAGGGCATGCTCTCGCCGTCGAGAAGTTGCTTCATAAGGTGTTTGACCGGATCACTGTGTGGCCATAGGCTGTGCGTTTTCTTGACGCGGAAAAGCTGCCTCATCAGTTGTCTCTGATGCACGCTGAGAAGCTATGCGGATAGGATTTTCCAGACGCCGAGCATCACGTTGCGCAGAAATTTCTCCAGTTCTCACTTCTGCCTGACGTGTTGCTTGGTCACGTCTGTGCTGTTCAGTATCATAAGTAGATTCTGGCTGTCTTGCAATTTTCATGGATGAAGCTCTTTGTGAGCTCTGTGAACGATTTGGTTTACAATTGTGAGTCATAATTAGATACACAAAAAAATTATAACAATATCGTTGTCCTAGAAATATGTATGAAATATTAATCTATCAAAATAGCTTTGACATGAATGTCAAAAAATATGTACCTACTTAAATAAAATTCATTTGCATCGATTTTCCCATCGAAATAAGATATTTTCCCGCAGTAAAATGTAGCCTATGTGTTAATCCAGAGTATCAGCTAACTCCACACCAAATTTTATTAAAATCGTTCCAGCCGTTTAGACGTGAAGAAGTAACAAACATACACACTCACATACTCACAAACTTTCGCCTTTATAATATTAGTGTGATAATCTTCCTATCAACCGTTCGTGTATGTGCCTGAATTCTATATTATTCAGAATATTCGATATGGGACAGAAGGTTCTCATTT